TGGGTACAACGTGTGAAGCCCATTTCTGGTGTCCCACAACATGATATTGCTGGAATATTGCTAAAAGCGACAAAAAAACAAACTCACTCACTCATTCCTGTGAAATTTATTACCTCTATAACATCATAACCATTAATCCTGCATTTCGGCTGTCCTCACCCAATAAAATCTGAAGGTTTTCAATAAATGCTCCTCTTCATTGCCAGCCGTTGATCTGTCTTGAGGGAGATAGTATTCTACAACCAACAGTATCTGCATCAAAACAAGACCTTCAGTCATCCAGGCCTCTATCAGTAGATCGTAAATACACTGAGTGGAAGCAGCACTGAGTGCCTAAACCACCTCTCTCACAGGCTCACAGCCACTGTACGCTACATGGGTTTGGCCAGTTTAAACTTAATTTCATAAACTGACTAAGTAGGCGGATAAACATCTTTTGGTTTTGTTTAATTTCTTACAAATCTATAAAAGATTTATTTCAAAGGCACACAGAATGAAGAAATGATCTTGAGGTCATGGGTGATGTGTAGGGTCTGTGGGAATGTATGATGTGTTCCACCAGTGTGCACAAACACACTTTTCTGCATAACAGTGCTTCAAAATATAGCAACTATGATATTCCTGAACCGTGGGAACAAAAAAAATAAAAAAATATCATATACTTGAGGTTTGATGGCAAGTCGATATGATTGCTCTTTACTCAACACTGACAGAGTCGATGTTCATATTCCAAGTGACAATGTTAATTATTGACTTATACCTTATAAACGTTAATTAATTTGTTTTTGTCTGACCTCTTAAGTGCTTTAACCACCCACCAGACGATTTTATTGGACATGGAAGTCTTGAAGTGCTCCCCTGCAGAGGGTAACAGGTTGCTGACACAAGCTGCCATTAAAGCCTGCGATGAATCAATTATCCCTCCCATCCCTCTGCATCAACAGACTTAGTTAATAGACATAGCCATGCCTCACCATTCACGTCTCTTGTGCATCAGATGTTTTTTCCTGCAATTTGATAAATATTTTTGTGAAAACTGAATTTTGAAGATAAAATGTAACTTTAATTGTGAAGAAACTTGAAATTCAAATTTCCTTACTGGGGCTAAAGTTTAAATTTTTACATTTTGTTTGTAGGCAAATAGTACTAAGATGTCTTATGAATGTATTGGCTTTCCAGTATGTGATATCATATGTAGTGATTTGTCAAGGTGGGGTGGCCTGAAGAGTAAACATTCACCTTTCCACTGTAAGCATGTTCAAATCCCCACATGGTTACACTGTATCGTGCCCTTGTCTTGTTAACTCACTGTGGTTTTGGTGGGGTATTGCTGAATGAGATGTAAACCCATACTCACTCACTATATCACACACTCACTGTCTCACTAACTCACTCACTCAGGTCAAGATTTGTACAGAGTATTTGGTGTAAGTGAATTGCAATTATTGTGGTGGCAACTTGAGGGCAAATCTTGAACATGACTGGGGACAACTGAAGATTTTACGAGAGCTTCACAAGGATTCGTTTCATAGAGTCATCCCGTTCAGATTAAAGTTAGACTTATTTTCAAGTGTTTCTACAAGTACAACTACACTTTCATTGCATGACTTCACAGATGAATTTGTTGTCTTTTACCATTCCATACAAGAAATTATGGTTTTAGGTAACAATAAGAAAGTGGAATTTGATACTAAAGTGATACTGATAATGGTAATGTTTCACCACAGCTTGTTTTATCCAATCTGAAAAACAAAATGTGCAAAAATATGGATATCACATACCAGTTGTTTATATGTGAGTTCACTTGTGGTAAGCAACTTTACATTGACATCTACATGCAACAGCTATTATTATTATTACATACAGAGAAAATGTTGTAGAACTGGATTCAGTGTAGAGAAGTCATATTTTTAGTGGACCTGAGGTTATAATGTGGCAGGGTTGTTTGTCATCCATCATAGACATCTTCTCAGAAACCATCTGACCTGTTAAAGCCAGCTTGTTGCAACCAGTGATGACGCTTGATGTGTTGCAATTTTCAACATGGCCACTCGGCAGCCATATTGAAAAGCCTATGGTTGCAACTCAGCCATATGTTTTCATGTTGGAGTGAAATGTAGCACATCAGTGGTTAGTAGTGAGGTTCAGTATATATTGAGGAAGCGGCGCTGGCTGAGTGGGTTAGATGGCTGACTTTGTGTGCTGGTGATTAGGCGCCAGATGGGGCTCAACCCAACAAACGTACAGAATATGTACTTCACTGAAAAAGTGTAATCCCAAATACAACATGTGTTACTTTCAACATCTAAGTTTTGATGGTTGCAATGGTTTGAATTTTAGCCTCAATTTGACCTCGACACATTGATCACTAAAAGCTTGAACACCTTATAACCAAAAGTTATCGGTAGAAAGTTCTGCTAGAAATATAATAAACTTTGGTGCTGGTATATCGATTTCTACTGTTGCTTATCACTGTGTTACCTTTACATTTTGATGTTACTTTGACCTTCACATTTACCATGATGTCTGAACCCATTATTCAATAACATATTTTCAAATGGTGAAATCTTCAGAGATCTCTTATGATACCTGGGGTGGTGGGGAAGCCTATTGGTTAAAGCTTCGCTCGTCACACCGAAGACCCGGGTTCGATCCCCCACATAGGTACAATGTGTGAAACCCATTTCTGGTGTGCCCTGCCACAATGTTGCTGGAATACTGCTAAAAGTGGCGTAAAACTTTACTCACTCACTCTTATGATATCCCTTATCAATATATTAATCAATGTTTTCTTTTGTTTCAGGTAAGTAAATCACATGTATGGATACTGTGTTACCTGTGTGGAACATTGTTCAGATATTGCTGTCATCCAAGGATAAAGTGTCTACTTTCCCAGATGATAAGTATTTGCACATTTTTATAAAAAATGGTACCTGTGATGACATCAAGCCCTGAGGTATGAGGTTTCATCATTCAACACATAGAGAAAACATCCATGATCGTCCTGGCACACCTGTCTAATCTGTCAGTAGATCTCCCCAGATCTTGGTAGCTGGAGGTTTTATATACAGATGTACTGTGAAAGTGTTGATGATGTAGAGATAAGCCATCTTTGGCTGATTCTCTCATCACAGGAAGGAAATGCCATCTTGAAGCAATCATATTACTTTCAGTATCACACAGAGTCAAGCAAATATAAAATCACTACTTCTCAGATATGGTTTTGGTGAAGCCTGGCAACAACAAAGTGTTGGAAGTGCCTATTTTAAACAGAGATATTCTTCAGACATTGATTACCACGTGTGGAATGGTAAAGTAGAAAATGACACAAAACCCTAATTATATTGTACATGAAAGGTATGGTGGACTATGACATTTTCTTCAAACATATTAACATGAAAACATTCAGAAATAATTGTTTTTGATGTTGGTCCAGTCATAATGAGTCATTTCAAGTGATGAGCTGTTTCTAGACTGTGACATGATGGCTGGCAGCTGTAAGCTGGTGAAACATATGTAGCGATGTTGAAGTGACCCTACACAGCTGTAGCTGTGAAACAAGCACATGTTGGAGAAGCAATGGAAGCTCCTGTGAAATCCTTACCCTGTTTATGGATTTATTGATTGCAGTTGGTCGGACCAACACAACCCCAGACAGTGTTGCTGTGATATCACCACACCACATTATCAGCTACTGAAGCCCCTGTAAAATCTATGTCAATGTGTCTGTGTTTACACAGTGTGTTTACTCAGTGGGATGCTGTCGTCTCCAACACGCTGGAGAAAATGGTGGGTGGTACTTGGGATAGGATAGGCATTTGTTTCTTCCTTGGTGACGTGGACCAGCCTTTAATTCTGTACATCTGTGTATTCTATGATCAAGTAGTACATTCAGCACTTCAAATCTCGGCCCCATGTTCCCATACCAGTCACACCACTACTGAAGCCAGGGTGTCATGGGGTAGCCCAGTGGAAAAGTGTTTCCTCGTAATGCTGATGATCCGGGCTTTATCCCCAGGATGGGTACAGTACGCAAAGCTGCATTTGCAGTCTCTAGCAATTCATTTTGACTGGATGATACATTCTTAAGGCCACATAAAATAATCTTCTGATTTTCTAATATGTGACCGAGATATACTGGTCATTGTTCATGTCCATGGACACCTGGTGTTTTGCCTAAGGTGTCCGTGACCTAATACAGATGATGAGGTTTCAGTGCTAAGTCATCCTTAGTCAGTAGGTGACATGGCTGATATCATCATAGGCAGTAGGTGACATGGCTGATATCATCCTTATTCAGCGGGTGAGATGGCTGATATCATCCTGATATCATCCTGAGTGAGTAGGTGACATGGCTGATATCATCATAGGCAGTAGGTGAGATGGCTGATATCATCATAGGCAGTAGGTGATATGGCTGATATCATCATAGGCAGTAGGTGAGATGGCTGATATCATCATAGGCAGTAGGTGATATGGCTGATATCATCATAGGCAGTAGGTGACATGGCTGGTATCATCATAGGCAGTAGGTGACATGGCTGATATCATCATAGGCAGTAGGTGATATGGCTGATATCATTCTTATTCAGTGGGTGAGATGGCTGATATCATCCGTAGTGAGTAGGTGAGATGGCTGATATCATCATAGGCAGTAGGTGATATGGCTGATATCATCATAGGCAGTAGGTGAGATGGCTGATATCATCATAGGCAGTAGGTGATATCACATAGGCATGGCATGGCTGATATCATCATATAGGCAGTAGGTAGGTGATATGGCTGATATCATCATCAGTAGGTAGGTGATAGGTGGCATGGCTGATATCCTAATAGGCAGTAGGTGAGATGGCTGATGTATCATCATAGGCAGTAGGTGACATGGCTGATATCATCAGGTGAGATTGCTGAGACAGTAGGTGAGATGGCTGATATCATCATAGGCAGTAGGTGACATGGCTGATATCATCATAGGCAGTAGGTGATATGGCTGATATCATCATAGGTGCATGGTATTAGTGTGAGATTGCTGATATCATCATATTCAGTAGGTGAGATGGCTGATATCATCATAGCCATCCAGTAGCAGTGAGATGGCTAGATATCATCATAGGCAGTAGGTGAGATGGCTGATATCATCATAGGCAGTAGGTGAGCTGATATCATCATAGGCAGTAGGTGATATGGCTAATATCATCATAGGCAGTAGGTGAGATGGCTGATATCATCATAGGCAGTAGGTGAGATGGCTGATATCATCATAGGCAGTAGGTGAGATATCATCATAGGCAGTAGGTGAGATATCATCATAGTCAGTGGGTGAGATGGCTGATATCATCATAGGCATCCTAATAGGCAGTAGGTGACATGGCTGATATCATAGGCAGTAGTGAGATGGCTGATATCATCATAGGCAGTAGGTGAGATGGCTGATATCCTAAAAGGCAGTGGGTGAGATGGCTGATATCATCATAGGCAGTAGGGTATATGGCTGATATCATCATAGGCAGTAGGTGACATGGCTGATATCATCATAGACAGTAGGTGAGATGGCTGATATCCTTAGGCAGTAGGTGAGATGGCTGATATCATACTTGGACAATAGATGATATGGCTAATATCATCATAGGCAGTAGGTGACATGGCTGATATCATTAGACAGTAGGTGACATGGCTGATATCATCCTTATTCAGTAGGTGAGATTGCTGATATCATCATAGCCATCCTAATAGGCAGTAGGTAAGATGGCTGATATCATAGGCAGTAGGTGAGATGGCTGATATCATCATAGGCAGTAGGTGAGATGGCTGATATCATCATAGGCAGTAGGTGAGATGGCTGATATCCTAATAGGCAGTAGGTGATATGGCTGATATCATCATAGGCAGTAGGTGAGATGGCTGATATCATCATAGACAGTAGGTGAGATGGCTGATATCATTAGGCAGTAGGTGAGATTGCTGATATCATACTTGGACAATAGATGATATGGCTAATATCATCATAGGCAGTAGGTGACATGGCTGATATCATTAGACAGTAGGTGAGATGGCTGATATCATCCTAATAGGCAGTAGGTGAGATTGCTGATATCATCATTAGTAGGTGACATGGCTGATATTATTAGACAGTATGTGAGATGGCTGATGTCATCCTTAATCAGTAGGTGAGATGGCTGATATCATTAGACAGTAGGTGAAATGGCTGATGTCATCCTTAGTAGGTGAAATGGCTGATATCATTAGACAGTAGGTGAAATGGCTGATGTCATCCTTAGACATTAGGTGAAATGGCTGATATCATTAGACAGTAGGTGAGATGGCTGATGTCATCCTTAATCAGTAGGTGAGATGGCTGATATCCTTAATCAGTAGGTGAGATGGCTGATATCCTTAATCAGTAGGTGAAATGGCTGATGTCATCCTTAGACAGTAGGTGAAATGGCTGATATCATTAGACAGTAGGTGAAATGGCTGATATCATTAGACTGTAGGTGAGATGGCTGATATCATCCTTAATCAGTAGGTGAGATGGCTGATATCATCCTCAGTGAGAGACAAACTTATGATGTTTCAAATACAAGTCTAGCCTGATTGTGTTTCTTTGTTTGTTAGCACACATCCAGCCGAAATGCTGTGATATGACAGATAGACTGTTGAGACCAGTGTTACATACAACTCACTCCCACTCAATGACATCACTGCACCAATGCCCCTACGACATCCGTGGATGTGTTAGTATTGCCGACATGCTCGAGTTGTACCCCACCCGTGAAGATTCGGGTTAGAACTGGGCCTAGATAGTTGAAACATCGTAGCTCTGCGATTGTCTTAACCTACATGCTCAAGTTGTACCCCACCCGTGAAGATTCGGGTTAGAACTGGGCCTAGATAGTTGAAACATCGTAGCTCGATTGTCTTAACCTACATGCTCAAGTTGTACCCCACCCGTGAAGATTCGGGTTAGAACTGGGCCTAGATAGTTGAAACATCGTAGCTCTACGATTGTCTTAACCTACATGCTCAAGTTGTACCCCACCCGTGAAGATTCGGGTTAGAACTGGGCCTAGATAGTTGAAACATCGTAGCTCTACGATTGTCTTAACCTACATGCTCAAGTTGTACCCCACCCGTGAAGATTCGGGTTAGAACTGGGCCTAGATAGTTGAAACATCATAGCTCTACGATTGACTTAACCTACATGCTCAAGTTGTACCCCACCCGTGAAGATTCGGGTTAGAACTGGGCCTAGATAGTTGAAACATCGTAGCTCTACGAATGTCTTAAGCCCATTCTTAACACATTGGCTATGATCAAAATTAAGAATTCTTAGGGCTACAAACATTTCGAAAATCTAGGCCCAGGTCTTCAGTAACCAATGTTTGTTGTCAGAGGCAAATAGCGATATGGGTGGTTAGACTCGCTGATTTGAATTGGTTGGCATGTTATCTAGGGGTGTCTATTGAGGGGGAAATAACTATTGCGATAGTGATAGTTTATTGCAAGATACTATTGCGACCAACTATTGCAATACTATTCTAAAAGGTCACATGCAACGTAAAACACAACTTTGCAGATTCTGATACCTTTCGGTATGGACTTACCGAAACAAATCGTCAAAAATGCAAATTCAACTTATAAAGTTAAAAAATAACGCGATGAAAAAAACCGCGCAAAATCGGAGTTCAAACATTTCACTAATTTTTCCCAGACTTTTCTGGGGAAAACGGGTTTCAACAGCTGGGCTGCGCCATAGCACGCAAGCAGTGAAATAGGTTTGGCGCAGCTTGGAAGCCGGGCTGTCGGGTGAATACTCGGTGAAGGCTTTGGTGTGAGCTATTTTTCTAATGTTTTGTTGATATCTCACAGGCGCGAGCTTTTTATATGTTATGACAGTAAATTAACTGTTTATATAATTTCATTTGTCTATTTCACCACACGTTCTTTTCTACCGAGTCACTTTCTCAGTTCGATACTTAAAAGCAATGTCATTATTTAGCGTTGACAGAATTTCTAACTGTGATATAGATATGTCGTTGTCACAGACAAAACTCAATGTCTTGTTTTATTGACACCTGTGTGTCTGCCTGCCTGTCTGCTAATGACAATATTCAATACACAGCTGCTATCACTGACCACATGCAATTTGAACTTAACACCAATCAGGCTATACGCCATAAACAAAATGCATTGATTTATGGCCTGAGTTCGGTCTCTGTCACATTATGTAATTACACAGACAGGCAGGTGTGATACTTGAACACATGACATGTTATGATGTCTGTTGATTGCAAAATGTTATACACAAAAAATGAGCATGTATTTACAAAACCCAACATCTCTATATATACACACACAATGAGCCGTGAAGGCATCTGCAAATGAACCAGCCGTTACACTTGAGTGCACACCCACCCGCTCTGACTGGGTTGGGTATCCCGGCTGCTTTGTTTCTTGGGAAGTAAACCGAAGTACACAATTTTGCACTTTTGATTTGCGATTGTACACTTATAAATTTGTTAATATGTTTTTTCATTACCAGCAATGTATATTATATGTCATGAATAAGTGATAATTGTGTTTTAATTATGTTTGATTTTTTGGTTGCATGTGACCTTTAACTATTGCAATAGTCGTTTTCCTTTTCTTGAATTGTCTCATTTGAAGTCATTTCCCAAATGAATGTACAGTTGATATGAAATATAAACAAGCTGAAGTAATTTCAGTCTCTTTAAATAACTGACAAGAAACATGAAACCCAGATCAAGTTTGTTTAAGAGGTAACAGGGGCAGATAACTCTTAATCAAAGTGAAGGAAGCTGTTACTTCCTGTATTTTGTGCTGTGCATTTTTATCAACGGAAGTTAATTACTAATATATCGATATTCACACGTACTATTGATGCATCGATAGTTTTTCGTTTCTACCATCGATTAATTGCTATCGGAAACTCAGCAATTGCAATCCATCGATAGTGCGATGCATCGTTACAGCCCTAATGTTATCATAGCCCAGTGTATATAGATCGATGCTCATGATGTTGGTCACTGGATTATCTGGTCCAGACTCAGTTGTTTACAGACCACCTCCATATAGCTGGAATATGGCTGAGTGCAGCGTTAAACAACCAACAAATGTTGCACCCAATATATTGAGCAGGCAGTAGATACAGTCTCTTGCTTGACCTGGGCACTCCAGCAGTTATCTCTGTGTTTGTTAGTGTGGTTAGTAAGTAGCTGTTAATAATTAAGTTTGGCAGTTAGTGTGGGTTTATATCTGGAAAATAGAGGAGGGTGAGGGCATATCCAGGAGTGTGGCTGGATGTGTGTCTGACTATATTCAAATTGTATAGGCTTTAAGTGCCTTGAATCTCGTGACCTGCCTTGCCCTACAAGTTTGTCATTTCAGAAAATTAGCTCAATTCAGTTGTCTACTTTGCAGTAACTTACTATTTGTCTATTCATAGTTTGATAGATTCAATTTGAGGCCAGTCATTTCATACTTAAAATCTCAAAGGGTGTAGTAAAAAAGAGGTCAACATGACCTGGGTCCTATCTCATCTTCATACATAGTGTTAAGGGGTGTGTCAAAGAGGTCACCATGACCTGGGTCCTATCTCATCTTTATACATAGTGTGAAGGGGTATGTCAAAGAGGTCACCATGACCTGGGTCCAATCTCATCTTTATACATAGTGTGAAGGGGTATGTCAAAGAGGTCACCATGACTTGGGCCCTATCTCCACAGAATTATTATTTGTTTATTGATTTCTAACCTTGTATGGTGAGGCATGAAAAACTCTACATCTCCTTCGTTGCCCAGTTCTTGACAAGCTAACACTCACAGAAATGACAAAGTATGGTTCAGACAATGCTCAGACATGTATGATTAAATAAATGAACTTTATGTTACTTAACTAACAGATTACTGTTAGCTGATTGGCAGGGTTTAAGTTGCACGATGTCACTGACAGATGTTGTATGATCATATACTGTGTATTGTTTACATTACCAAGTAAATATGTAGCCTAATCTATTATTGCTGATTATTGTCTTAATGTTATTGTGTATTTATGGCAATGAAAACATAGGACAAAGTGTGCTGGCTTGGTGTAAAATCTGCCTTGTGTCTCCCACTGTGTGTAAATGACTGAGAGGTCACTGATGTCACTTTGTAAATAAACTTGTAAAGTATTCCTCTTGACTTCCTTCCTCACACGTATAACTAGTTTCACAAGATACAGATATCCCCTGATAGGGATGTGAATATCTGACGGACAGGACACCATTCGTCAAGTGCATGACTGTAGAATGTGAGTAGATGTGTTTGATAACCATCTTAATTGTATTTGTTGTGTAACACTGAAATCTGAAATATTTCTGTCAATTAGATCACAATGTAAATCGGCAATGTTAAGTAATCACCATGAATGCAGTACTGAGCAGTTTCTTGTAGGATATTATTGTTTAATTCTAAATATGAGATAGTTTTGTGAGGTTGCCAGGAACAGTGACATGTAGGCACCTGTCACAACTTGCTGATTAACTTGTGTAAATAATCTCAGCACACTTTACACCTTATTATGTCATTTTCTACCTGTTGCCTGTAATACTTCCTCATTCAGTGTACTCTGTCTGCACCGCTACTATGAGGTAGGTTGTATTGTTTTAAACAACCCTTGTCAGTAGATGTCGCATGAAGACACCTCCAGTGTGGCACCTCTGTTACATGCAGGCTGTATTTAATGAGAACAAATAAGTTGTGGACATGTTTGGAGGTCAGAGTCAGGCTCACCTGATGTTGGCATCTTTAATGGTTAAGTATGGCTCTTTAACTGGTCTGAGTAGGGATCTATACCTGTGCTCTGTAGGGACCTTAAATTGACCTCTGCAGGGATCTTAAACTGACCTCTGTCAGGATCTTAAACTGACCTCTGTAGGGATCTTAAACTGTACCCTGCAGGGATCTTAAACTGTACCCTGTAGGGATCTTAAACTGTACCCTGTAGGGATCTTAAACTGTACCCTGTAGGGATCTTAAACTGTACCCAGTAGGGATCTTACTGTCAACCCTGTAGGGATCTTAAACTGTACCCTGTAGGGATCTTAAACTGTACCCTGTAGGGATCTTAAACTGTACCCTGTAGGGATCTTAAATTGACCTCTGCAGGGATCTTAAACTGACCTCTGTCGGGATCTTAAACTGACCTCTGTCGGGATCTTAAACTGACCTCTATAGGGATCTTAAACTGACCTCTGTAGGGATCTTAAACTGACCTCTGTCGGGATCTTAAACTGACCTCTGTAGGGATCTTAAACTGACCTCTGTAGGGATCTTAAACTGTGCCCTATAGGGATCTGAAACTGAGCCCATAGGGATCCTAAACTGAGCTTTGTTGGGATCTTTAACTGAGCTTTGTAGGGATCTTAAACTGAGGAGCTCTGTAAGGATCTTAAACCAAGGTCTGTAGGGATCTTAAACTGAGCTCAGTAGGGATTTTAAATTGCGATCATAGGGATTTTAAACTGATCTTTGTAGGGATCTTAAACTGAGCTTTGTTGGGATCTTAATCTGAGCTCTGTAGGATCTTAAACTATTCCTTTGATTTCAGAGTGGATATTTGACAGTCTTCTGTAAAGGTCATTATGGACATTATTGTCACAGAATCCAAGCACTATTTAATTCATTTTATTTCTGGTTGTATATTGAGCAATATGTTTCAAATGTCAAACCTCCTTGTCTGAGAGTGGAGCCATCAAGTCTTGTACAAGCATTCTGTATTCCATGGCACAGTTAAAACATCACGTTCATCAGGCAGTGTCTCCAGTCATCTGAAAGCAGCATTGTAGAGTTATAATTCAGAAGAAAGGTTTCCATCATTTAATTTCAGTTCTCTTCTTTGTTAGCTGATGTTTGTATCGAGATGAGATGGTTTGCTTGGTATATCATGTTGCCAAGGAAACATCACCGTGCCTATGTGTTTGCCTTTTGTGGACTTTCCCCATGTTGCATGGCAATGAAAGTAGTTGTGATATGTCAGACCCTGTATATGACTGCACACGTCTTTGTAATCTTGCTACTTGACAGAAATACATGTGAAACTGACACACTTGCAGTTGTGGTTTCATGGGTGTCCTTCCTGTCTACCTTCTTACTCGGTTTACCTACCGCTTTCCCGCAATTTGCCTTGTCGACTTATCTACCCAGGCCTAAAAAGAAATGTTGTGGTTCCGATTACCTGACTGACCCTTGAATTTTTGCTGCCGACACTATTTTCTTTAAGCAGTATGAATGTATGAATAAAATAAGCTTTCAGATACCACTGTTTTTTTCCCAGCACTGACAGACATTGGTCATTCTGATAGAGAAAGTTGACATGATGGCCGCAAGCTTGATTGAATAAACAATTACTCATTGATAAATGTTGTAATTAGTTTGTACTTTACTTCTAAAAAAAAAGTATTAAAAAAAAATCCTTCCTACCTACCCTAAATCTTAAAGAAGTATAATCAGAACCACAACATTGTTTTTGTTTGGCCCTATTTACTTTGTCCATCAAGCAATTTGCCTTGTCAACCTACCTACCTATTTACTTTGCCAATCAAGCAATTTGCCTTGTCGACCTATCTACCAGGTTACAGTTTCTACTTAAATGCTAATTCTCCTTGTGTACCTATCTTCCTATATATATGAACCCATGAAGATCTGGGTTAGAATTGATCTTCAGCAACCCATACTTGTCATAAGAGGCGACTAACGGGATCGGGTGGTCAGGCTTGCTGACTTGGTTGACACATGTCATCGTATCCCAATGGCGTAGATCGATGCCCATCCTGTTGATCACTGGATTGTCTGCTTCAGATTCGATTATCTACAGACCGCCATATAACTGGAATATGGTGTAAACCTAAACTCACTCACTCACTCACCTATATACAGGGGCAGTGCAGTAACCTTGTGGTGTTGGTATCATCAGTGTCGATGTACAAGACAAAGGTACATCTCCAGACCCCACAGCTGAACAACTGCCATCACAGACTGATTCGGAGTTGGTTTCCTGTTGCATTCTGTCCTCACTCATCTGTTGCTGAAACCTCTTTTAACACGGAAGAAAATCACCCACATACACAGTATTTATGATTTCGCCCCACATCAAATACACTATAAGTGGAAATAAAACACATATATATGTGACAGAAATGCAAGAATTGTTAGGAAACAGGATCCTGCAGCCTACTGCCTTCCTGGTACAACAGTTACTGGTTGGCTGGTCAGACATCCTCGTGAACCACATCAAACTGATAGGGTGGTGATTCAATGTGCAATGCAATTTGTCAAACAGAGGAATGTCATTTCTCTCGTGAAGCATACACCACCTTTGAAATTACTGTCACATTACCTAACTAATACACAATGTCTGAGGTGGGCATATATTGACTTTGGATCTGATGTTTGCGAACCCATGCATAGGATGCCTAAAATAGCTGAAGATACGTCAGCCATGACAGCTAGAGTTGCAAAACATACATTTATCTTGTTTTCGATATAATCTTGGACAGCTGCCAGGGGACAGTCCTGAATCAGAACCCTGGGACTGAACAAATGATGATTTGAGTTTGATTATGTTAGAAACATTACTTATGTAACATTTAACAATAATACATACTACATGGTCTGGAAAATGCTTCATCAAGAAAAGCATGTTTTTCATTGAGTTATTTTCAATTCAATAATAATAATGATAATAATCATTTAATCATTTATTTATATATAAAGTGCCTGTATCCACGTGCCACTGCATGCTTAAGGTGCTACAATAAAATCGGAAGATGATGTACAAAATGGTGGGTTTGAAGAATTAGTAATAAGTGCTCTTGAACAGATTTTCAAGCAAGATTTGAAACTTGTGAGAGAATCAGAAAGTTTAATGTTGAAAATTGACAACTTTATATATATGTTTAGCATTTATGATAAGCCTGTGATTGTATCCCAGCTGAGTGGATTGATGCTCATGACGTCAGTCATTGGGTGTCATGTCTTGGGTAATTAACAGGCACCTGTTACAGTACATTTTCATAAAATGAATGTAAATTGACCACTAAGGTACTTTTATAATCATAGTTCCTTGTATGCATTAAAATATACAGCAAGTAGTCAGAAATAAATTTTTTGTTATATCTGTCAGTCCATTATAAACGTGTGCTTTATAAACATAATTTTCTGTGTATAGTTTGAATTTTGCTGAGTGGAGTGTTAAGCCCCTCCAAAACCTTTTCGATATTCGATTGTATAAGAAACAGAGAAATAAAGTTAACACCATGAAATACCATGCAAAAGAGAATTTGTATTCCAATCTTGATGATTTTATCACTGAATTACACTTTAATAATAAACCCTCTTACTGGAAAATGTTGCGATATGTTGTAAAACATTCAGGTACAGCAACTTGCATTCCCGCTCTCAAACAATATCCTAATGATGATGACCCGTCGCTTTTCTCAGATATTGATAAAGCTGAATCTATAAATAACTACTTGGCCTCGATCTCCTGTGTAAATGACGAGAATATGGCTCCTCCTCAATTTGATAGACACACAAAATCCACTTTAGAATTTATAACAGTGACTAAACAGGAAATTACAGATATAATTAAATGTTTGCCACTGAATAAAGCTGCGGGTCCCGACAGAATAAGTCATAAGCTTTTAAAAGAAACTGCTCATTCAATAAGTGCGCCATTATGTTTGCTTTTTGAATTGTCATTAAGAAAAGGTGTGTATCCATCAGAATGGAAATCAGCACATGTAATGCCTGTATTCAAGAAAGGTGACCAAACTAAGGCATCAAACTATAGACCGATATCTCTTATAAGTTGTGTCGGTAAACTGTTTGAGAGAGTTGTATTCAAGCATATATCTAACTATTTCAACGAGAACAAGCTATTGTACAAATACCAAGCTGGTTTTCAAGCTGGGAGTTCACCTGTCCATCAATTAATTGAAATATATCATCAAATATGCCAAGCTCTAGATGAAAAGGACCAATATTGTATGGTCTTTTGTGATTTTTCGAAGGCTTTTGATCGTGTTTGGCACAGAGGGCTTACACATAAATTGAAAATGTATGGTATTAAAGGTAGATTGTTAGAGTGGTTATGTAATTACATATGTAATCGCTATCAAAAGGTCTTTGTTAATGGAGCCCTGTCTAAACCAAGGTTACTCCAGGCTGGCGTCCCACAGGGATCAGTGTTGGGTCCATTTTTATTCATTGTTTATATAAATGATATTGCTGATGACTTAGATTGCATAACGCGACTATTTGCAGATGACATATCATTAGGCAAGGCTTCTGGAAATCTTAACAGAATAGAAATCTCATTAAACGTAAATCTCAGAAGGTTAAACGACTGGGCAAACAAGTGGTTGATATCATACAACCCAGATAAGACAGAATCAGTACTTTTCTCACTTAAAGATGATATTTGCTCGATTAACTTATTATTTGACGATAAGATTGTTGAAACGGTAGAAGATCATAAACATTTGGGGATAATACTTTCATCGAATGGCAAAAGGTCCTCCCATGTATCTAATATTGTTTCCAAAACCTCTAAAATTATTTACTCAATGAGAAAACTTAAATATATTCTTAAAGAAATACACTTCTAAAGATTTACACAGTTTTTATAAGACCTCACTTTAAGTACGCATGTGAAGGCTGGGATGGCTGTGGAAAAGAACTAAGTTTAAAATTGAAAAGGCTCCAGATGGAAGCTGCAAGAATTATTACAGGACTTCCCAAATATTCTTCTTTTAATTCACTATTTTTAATTCACTATATTATGAAACAGGCGAAGCACTATCAGAGCGTAGAAGAATAAGAAAATTGTCTTTGTTCAATAGTAATCAAGTCCAATCTACCTAAAAGAAATAATTCCTCAGTTTGTGGGCTCCAGGAGTCAATATAATCTAAGAAATTCAGGCAATATCTGCTTGCCAAGAACAAGAATAAAAAATTCTCGTTCTTCCCATCGACTATAACATTGTGGAACAATTGATCTACAGATGTAAGAAATTGTACTTCACTATCAAAGTTAAAAACGAGCATAATAACATCACATAACTCAGCTCCACCATACTTTTCTTACGGTATTAGATAATTTAGCATATTACATACTCAACTACGTCATGGAGCTAGTAGAGTAAGTTACGATCTGTACAGAGTAGGGCAAATCACTGATCCATCCTGCGCATGTGGAAACCCATGCAAAACTACTCATCACTATTTCCTAGAATGTTCTTTATACAATCAACATAGAAAGATCATGCTTAAAGCTATTCAAGATGTATGTGGTAGTAATTATGTGATTACATTATCTGTTATTTTAAACGGCATTGCAGATCTGACAAGTCATAAAAATGAAATTATATTAAAAAAATGTACATCAGTATTTATGCAAATCTAAACAGTTCCAGTAGTCTTCTCTCTATACACCTTTTGTATTATAACATTTCCCCCTGTTATCTTTCAGTCTTTCTCTGTCTCTGTTTCTAATAACTGCTTGTGATGTAATTAGTTATTGTAAATATCTTGGAGAGGGGTTTAATAAGTTGAAAGATCCTTTTCACATGATAATAAAATATGTTTAAACTAAACTAAACATTTTAACTGTGTTTCACATATATAAATTGCTTTGCTTGAAGAAAGTTTCAGAAACTTGTCGTTTCTATATGATGACTTGTATGAGGCAGGCCATGTCGACATTAATCACATACAGGAACTAAAATATCTGTCTTCCCATGGTAACAGTGATCTCCCAGTTTGGAGAATGTGATAAATCAAGCTATGACTCCGTCCGTATGACAAATGGCTATGACTTCTGCTGCCATGATATCTGAAGGAGAATGGACTCCATGAAACAACGACCTGGGAGACATATAACTGCTCATGACGTTATGGGCACTTATAATGGGGAGAAGAAAATCTGCGCCCATGTTATAGGCAGGAAGCAGGTTTACCATTAAGCAAGAAAAATCAGTTCCTTCTCTGGAGAAAAAAAGAACATTTCCGAGAGAGGCGGTTTTCAGCCTATTGATTTAGAGCAAGTGTAAAGGCTAGTGATTTGTTTTCTCTTTCAAGAGTTCCATATATGAGGTTTTGGGGAATACAATGTACGAGGTGAAAAGGACTGGACGGTCTATATTCCCACTATGTTCCATGTTTTGGGGAATACAATGTACGAAGATACAACGATGGTGAAAAGGGCTGGACGGTCTATATTCCCACTATGTTCCATGTTTTGGGGAATACAATGTACGAAGTGAAAAGGACTGGACGGTCTATATTCCCACTATGTTCCATGTTTTGGGGAATACAATGTACGAAGTGAAAAGGGCTGGACGGTCTATATTCCCACTATGTTCCATGTTTTGGGGAATACAATACCCAAGTGAATACAAAAGGGTGACGGTCTATATTCCCACTATGTTCCATGGTCTATATTCCTGATGGACCGGTCTATATTCCCATATGTTTGGGGAATACAATAAGTGAAAAGGGCTTGACAGTCTATATTCCCACTATGTTCCATGTTTTGGGGAATACAATGTACGAGGGCTTGACAGTCTATATTCCCACTATGTTCCATGTTTTGGGGAATACAATGTACAAAGTGAAAAGGGCTGGACGGTCCATATTCCACTATGGTCTATATTCCCACTATGTTCCATGTTTTGGGGAATACAATGTAATACAAGTGAAAAGTTGACTGTCTATATTCCCACTATGTTCCATGTTTTGGGGGGCTAAGTGCAAAAGGGCTCTATGACGGTCTATATTCCCACTATGTTCCATGTTTTGGGGAATACAATGTACAAAGTGAGGGGCTGGACAGTCTATATTCCCACTATGTTCCATGTTTTGGGAATACAATACAATGTATTCCCACTATGTTCCATGTTTTGGGGAATACAAAGGGCTGGACGGTCTATATTCCCACTATGTTCCATGTTTTGGGGAATACAATGTACGAGGGCTGGATGGTCTATATTCCCACTATGTTCCATGTTTTGGGGAATACAATGTACAACGAGTGGGGCTGGACGGTCTATATTCCCACTATGTTCCATGTTTTGGGGAATACAATGTCCCACTATGTTCCATGAGGGCTGGGGACGGTCTATATTCCCACTATGTTCCATGTTTTGGGGAATACAATGTCTGACGTCTATATTCCCACTATGTTCCATGTTTTGAAAGAATACAATGTCACGAGGGCTGGACGGTCTATATTCCCACTATGTTCCATGTTTTGGGGAATACAATGGTCTATATTCCCACTATGTTCCATGAGGGGCTGGGCGGTCTATATTCCCACTATGTTCTATGTTTTGGGGAATACAATGTATTGAGGAACGAGGGCTGGACGGTCTATATTCCCACTATGTTCTATGTTTTGGGGAATACAATGTACGAGGGCTGGACGGTCTATATTCCCACTATGTTCCATGTTTTGAGGAATACAATGTGACGAGGGCTGGACGGTCTATATTCCCACTATGTTCCATGTTTTGGGGAATACAATGTACGAGGGCTGGACGGTCTATATTCCCACAATGTTCCATGTTTTGGGGAATATGTTGGGAATCGAGCCCGGGTCTTCTTTGTGCTGAGCAAACGCTTCAACCACTAGGCTCCCTACTTCACCACCCTGAAATGTTATTTTTATTCAATGGGAACAAACTTACAACTGTACCTGCAGCTCAATGATGAACAGTTAGGCTCTAGTGGCACTGATAAATCTTGTTGCTTTTAAGAGCCTCATTTTCAAGTTAATAACCTCTGCAAGATATACATTACATATGTCTAACTGGGATCATGAAAAGTGTGTTTGAAAGGTATTTAAGATTTTTGTGTTTGGTTAATAAATTAGTCTGAAAACACTCCTTGCTTTCCGTCATGTTTTCTTCTCAACATATAACTAAGTGTAATTGAGGTAATGCGTAGAGAAATGAAGGTTCAGAGTGGCAAGAAACAAACCAATTGATCTTCAGTTATATCCACCAGCACGTGGCAGAAGGAGATTTAATAAAACTCTGTAGCTAATTATGTTTTCTGAAGATTTTTCCGACTACAGTCTCATCAGGGAAATTCTAGCTCTTGAGGAATTAGAAAAGAAATGGTTTGTCATAGTGTACCAGAAGGACGTGAGACCAAGATATGTTTTCGTTCTGAGACACTGAGGTGTCATGTCCTGAGAAACATGTAGAGCCAATGTGTCTTGGTCAGAGACATATTTTGCCAATGTGTTCACATCATCCAAATGTTTGGCTGATGTGTTCCAATTCTGAAACAAAAGTTTATCTGAAATGTCGGTGTCAAAATACTCTTCTTTATTTATAAATCAAACCCCATCCCATCTCTGCCTACCACTCCATCCATCACCTGCCTACCTTCCCATCCACCCACTACCTACCTTCCCATCCACCCACAACCTACCTTCCCATCCACCACTGCCTACCTTCCCATCCATCCACAACCTACCTTCCCATCCACCCACTCCCATCCACCCCTACCTTCCCATCCACCCACTACCTTCCCGGTGGGGTAGTCCATAGTGGTTAAAGCATTTTGCTCATCACTTCCCATCCACCCAAGACCGGGTTCGATTCCCCACATGGGTACAATGTGTGAAGCCCATTTCTGGTGTACCCCCCCGTGATATTGCTGGAATATTGCTAAAAGCAGCGTAAAACCATACTCACTCACTCACTCCACCCACTACCTACATTCCCATCCACCAACTACCTACATTCCCATCCACCTCT